TTACTTACAAGGTCAATGTGACCTTGACCTTTGACCCCTTGACCCCAAAATCAATAGGGGTCATTTGCTGATCATGACCAATCACTATGCCAAGTTTGAAGTTCCTAGGCCCAAGTGTTCTTTAGTTATTGATCAGAAACCGTTTTTACTTACAAGGTCAATGGGACCTTGACCTTTGACCCCTTGATCCCAAAATAGAAAGGGGTAATCTGCTGGTCATGAAAAATCACCATACCAAGTTTGAAGTTCCTAGGCCTAAGCGTTCTTAAGTTATTGATCAGAAACCGTTTTTACTTACAAGATCGATGTGACCTTGACCTTTGACCCCTTGACCCAAAACTCAATAGGGGTCATCTGCTGGTCACCACCAATCATCATACAAAGTTTTGAAGTATCTAGGCCTAAGCGTTTTTAGTTAATTGATCAGAAACCGTTTTTACCTACAAGGTCAATGTTACATGACCTTTGACCCCTTGACCCTAAAAAAATAGGTCATCTGCTGGTCATGACCAATCACCATACCAAGTTTGAAAGTTCCTAGGCCTAAGGGTTCTTAAGTTATTGATCGGAAAGCATTTTTTACCTACAAGGTCAATGTGACCTTTCCCTTTGACCCCTTAACCCCAAAATCAGTAGGGGTCATCTGCTGGTCATGACCAATCACCATACCAAGTTTGAAGTTCCTAGGCCTAAAGGTTCTTTAGTTATTGATCGGAAACTGCTTTTACCTAAGAGGTCAATGTGACCTTGACCTTTGACCCCTTGACCCCAAAATCAATAGGGTCATCTACTGATCATGACCAATCACCATACCAAGTTTGAAGTTCCTAGGCCTAAGGGTTCTTTAGTTATTGATCCGAAACTGTTTTTACCTAAGAGGTCAATGTGACCTTGACCTTTGACCCCTTGACCCCAAAATCAATAGGGGTCATCTACTGATCATGACCAATCATCATATCAAGTTTGTAGTCCCTAGGCCTAAGGGTTCTTTCGTTATTGATTGGAAACCGTTTTTACCTACAAGGTCAATGTGACCTTGACCTTTAACCCCTTAACTCCAAAATCAATAGGGGTCATCTACTGATCATGACCAATCACCATATCAAGTTTGAAGTCCCTAGGCCTAAGGGTTCTTTCGTTATTGATCGGAAACCGTTTTTTACCTACAAGGTCAATGTGACCTTGACCTTTGACCACTTAACCCCAAAATCAATAGGGGTCATCTGCTGGTCATAACCAATCACCATACCAAGTTTGAAGTTCCTAGGTCTAAGGGTTCTTTTGTTATTGATCGGAAACCGTTTTTACCCAAGAGGTCAATGTGACCTTGACCTTTGACCCTTGACCCCAAAATCGTTAGGGGTCATCTACTGATCATGACCAATCACCATACCAAGTTTGAAGTTCCTAGGCCTTAGGGTTCTTTACTTATTGATCGGAAACCGTTTTTGCTTACAAGGTCAATGTGACCTTGACCTTTGACCCCTTGACCCCAAAATCAATAGGGGTCATCTACTGATCATGACAAATCACCATACCAAGTTTTGAAGCTCCTAGGCCTTAAGGTTCTTTAGTTATTGATCGGAAACCGTTTTGCTTACAAGGTCAATGTGACCTTGACCTTTGACCCCTTGACCCCAAAATCAATAGGGGTCATCTACTGATCATGACAAATCACCATACCAAGTTTGAAGTTCCTAGGCCTTAAGGTTCTTTAGTTATTGATCGGAAACCGTTTTTTGCTTACAAGGTCAATGTGACCTTGACCTTTGACCCCTTGACCCCAAATCAATAGGGGTCATCTACTTGTCATGACCAATCACCATACCAAGTTTGAAGTTCCTAGGCCTAAGGGTTCTTTAGTTATCACTCGGAAACCATTTGGTCTACGGACCGACGGACCGACGGACCGACAAGTGCAAAGCAATATACCCCCTTTTTTTCAAAAGGGGGCATAATTAGTATTTTGTATGGAAATCTAAATACTACAAATGTACTTTGTTTTCATTTTGTTACCTTTACGATACATAACTGCATGCTCAGTGCTGCTTTTGTCAGTTGTAAAACATCTAACATGCTCTTAATTCGTAAAACTTTTTTAAACACATATTTGACATTTCTAAAGAATTTTTTAAAAAATGGATTTCTGAGGCATAATGTGCCTTTAAGTTGGACACATAAATGGAATGCAAATACCTATATGGAGGTGAAAATAAATTTAAAAACTAGAAATGTGTCATCATGCCACGGATGCCCCCGCATGCAGCCAAAATTTCAGATGGTGCATTAATTTTTTTTTTTCATTTTAAGTTCAAAGCCCTTAAAACTTTTCAATGTTAACACAAACCATTTCCATACAACGTTCAAGGCACTGAAATTATTCAGTCTTAACCTTTAGAAAAAGCATATTGCATATTTGTAGCCAAAATAATGGCTAAAAGAATGAGTGCTGAAACTGAAAGTTCAAAATTTTTCCAACATTCAGGAAAGATAAGTTTGTCTAAAATCATTGAACCATGACCAAATTCAAACTTAAACTGCTTATTCTTAAGATGTATCTATATTATTTTCAAAGTGAAAGGGACATAACTCTGCCAAAAAAACATCAAACCCTGACCAAATTCCAACTTGACCTGCCCATTCCTTTGACATATCCATATGTCAAATTAAAATTTAAAATGTAACACTGTTAGGTAGATAATGAACAGAAACTGTAAATTTCATATTATTTTCAAAGTGAAAGGGGCATTACTCTGCCAAAAATCATTGAACCATGACCAAACTCGAACTTGGCCTGGGCATTCCAGAAACATATCCATATGTCAAATTTGAGTTGAATGTGTTGTACCATTGGGGAGATAATAAACGGAAACTGAAAATTTCATATTACTTTCAAAGTGAAAGGGGCATAACGCTGCCAAAAATCATCGAACCATGACCAAATTTGAACTTGACCTGCGCATTCCATTGACGCATCCATATGTCACGTTTGAGTTGAATGTGTTGTACCTTGAGGGAGATAATGAACGGAAACTGAAAATTTCATATTATTTTCAAAGTAAAAGGGGCATAACTCTGCCAAAAATCATCGAACCACGACCAAATTTGAACTTGACCTGCGCATTCCTTTGACGCATCAATATGTCAAGTTTGAGTTGATTGTGTTGTACCGTTGGGGAGATAATGAACGGAAACTGAAAATTTCATATTATTTTCAAAGTAAAAGGGGCATAACTCTGCCAAAAATCATCGAACCATAACCAAATTCGAACTTGACCTGTATTTTCTCATAACATATCCATATGTCAAGTTTGAGTTGAATGTGTCCAACCGTTCTTGAGATAATGAACGGAAACTGAAATTTCATATTATTTTCAAAGTAAAAGGGGCATAACTCTGCCAAAAATCATCGAACCATGACCAAATTCGAACTTGACCTGTATTTTCTCATGACATATCCATATGTCAAATTTGAGTTGAATGTGCCCAACCGTTCTTAAGATAATGAACGGAAACTGATGATGACGGAATGACAGAATGACGGAAGGACGGAAGGACGGAAGGACGGAAGGACGGAATGACGGAACAGGGTAACACTATATGCCCCGGCCATTACATGGCGGGGGCATAAAAATGTGGCTTATGGCTCATTCATTTCACACTTTAATTTTACTGAAATCATGAAAACAGGTATGAAAGCACATATGGTAGGGGTATATAGACAAATAATACTTGATATACTGATGTACCATTGATATTTGTCATCTGTTACTTATTTGCCATCTGTTACCGCTATATGGTCAATATGTTTTTGACTGAAACAATGGCAGCTCCAGTTCAATTACATAAACATTAAGGACATAAATAGATAGAAAATTAAATTAAATTAATTAAATCAATAGAAATAAGTTCTCTTTTTTATGAATTAACTTTGCAAAGCATCACTTGAATTCTGAATAACATAACATTTCGCTCTTAAAGTCCTAATATATATTTTTCTAAATATTATTGAGAAAAAAAAATCTTTACCCATCTGGAGACATACAGATTTCAGATCATTATTTAACCTGATAGAATCAAAAGTAATTATTCTGTGGCAAGTTTCAGACTCTCTACCACGGCTAAGACAATGTATATTGAACAAAGGGAGCTAAATCTTTACCAGTCAGTTATGCTGTGCAAAATATATACTGTGCACCAATATCTGCAAGACAAATGAAATCATTGACTGAAAATCTCAATCTGTATGAAAACTGTATTGCAATATAAATCCTTCAAGGATAAAAGTTCATATGATAGCAAAATATTGTAAATCATAAATTTTAAACAATGCATCAAATTCTGCAAGCCAAACACAATGTAACTGACTATAGAATCTGAATGTATGAGAATTATTTAATTTTTACAATATAAATTTAATGTCACAACAAAATGACTTTGGTAAGTCAAAAAAATGACAAAATGTAAATTCAAATCTCTAAAAATCAGAACAAACTGTAATCGAGTCAAATAAAATTTTGAAAAAAAAAGTATAAAAAACTTCAGTCATATAAAAAAAAGAACATGAAAAGAAAGAAGAAAAAAAAGAGTTAAAAAAATGAGTTAAATTCTGACAATGAAAAAGTAAAAACCACAAATTTTCTTTAATTTCTAAGTGAAAAAAAATGTTAATGATAGCAAAAAGTCTATGATCAACATCTAGAATCAATCTCATTCTTCACACATTATTTACATGCCGTAGTTCCTTCTGAAATGTCCATTGTGACAGACCGATACTATACTACTTGTATTGGATGCTGCATATCCAATATATCCTTTATGCAGTTATTATGCTATTAATGTAAAAACAAATTTGCAACAAAAATCTCTCTATCATATATTTGAGAACTTAAAACATCTTGTTAATTTTACAAGCCAAACTGACTGTTTTTGGCAAAATACATTATCTATGCTAAGTGGATTAATAAACCAATACATTAATACACATTAAATTGATTAATACATTGTAGAATATAGTATTTTGTCCTTTTTTTACATCCTTAAGATAATTTGGATATGGAATACTACATTTAAGTTATTTAAACACTACTATAATACAGAATACATTTATTTGTGGACACATATACAGCTTGATGAATTATCTAAGACCAGTCCAGGCATGTATCTAGCATACATATACCTCACCACCCACTCCCAAAATCCTTCCCCCTCCTCCTGACCCCAAATGGAGTTATCACAAATACTTTACAATCATCATTTTTACTACAAACAAATCATTTAGTTTGTTTCTAATTCATTTCAGGTATAAAAATCTTATTTCTAGATATCAGTTTGATCAAGATCAAGCAGCAGGCTATAAATAACTGCTATATACCACACAGCATTCTATAAATACCTTACAGAAAAAGACTTTTTTAAAGCACTGAGTTATGCAGTAGTTATTTAGATAAAACAAACTGCATGTATATTTAGAATACACACACATAATTACATAGATATCACATACATGTACATTAATTTGCTGACACTTTTAAAATCTTCCTTGAGGAGTTTGCCACCGCCCATGCCCGTTACCATTTGAATTATTTGAGTAGTCCGAACTTGAAATTTTCTCGAAAAGGTATTGCACAACTTTAAGTCCCGCTGCGTATAATGAAAACTGTAAAATGAAAGCACCAAATCCTCTGTATAGTCCGAGAAGGCCTTCTTCAATGATTATTGACCGGAAGCAGTCTATAACACCTGTGTATTGTGTCGAAATACCAGAAACTTCACATCCACTGTCCATGTTATCTATAAGAACTCGTGTTCCCTGAATGTATAATCTGTGGAGAACTGTTTCAAATGGGTATAAAACCAGGTCAGCGAGAAATGTTCCGGTAAAAGTTGCTAGAAGTATGGGGAATTGTTGGTCGTATAGAGATATTGTCGAAACGTCACTATCTACCGGCGTCGAGTTATCCTGTAATAGAAATGAATCAACATTTTTTTTGATAATGTAATACAACCATAGTTTTCCCCAAAACAAACAATTTTATATTAATAATTATGTATCCATTTTATGCTCATATGAGTAGTGATTCTATTTTTAAAACAGAAATGAGAAACAAGTTTGTAAAAATACCCTTAAATGGTTCTTTCTTGAAGTTGTTTTTAGTTTGGTTTATAGTAAATGTAACTGGCCAAGCAATGGCGATGATTTTAGATTACTTGCTTCTCATCGCTTTGAGTTCGAATTTGGTCAGGGACTTTGAATTCTTTCATGAAAGAAAGCTATCAAGCAAGCTTACAGAAGTGTGTTTCTTTTTCTCAGGTTCCCACTTGTGCCTGAGATAATGTACTAAGGGGCACCTGGGGTGTTCCTCTATCAGCATCTGATGTCTTCCCCCCACCAGTTAAGCTGGAAAGTCGTCACATGACCTTTACAGAGTCAGCATCACTTAAAATGCAATGTAACAATCAATGTTAAGTGTTTTGAATCATACTTTATCTTTCCTGTTTTGTTACAAGTAGCTGTCACAAACACTTTACATCAATTTTCTAATGTGTTTCTCCAGAGTTCTTATAAAAAGTACACTTAATATTTGATACATACTGAATTTTCCTGTTGTTTTTCAAACTTTGCTCTGAGGACGGCATATGATGCCAGAGATTGTACACAATACTGACACAGTTTGAATGTTGCTGTTGGTATTAGTAACTGCCACATAGGAATTATCCATGCTGCCTGATGTACTCCCCTGCCTAACAGTCTATTACATCCTTCCAGTAGGAAATCTAGTAAAGTTGGTGGCTCATTGGCCCCATAACTCTGAAATAAAATATTTATCATAATAAAAGCACAACAGTACTAAAAAGTCTAATTAATATGACACAGTTTGCTGAATAAATCAGAGGCTGTGAATCATGTGACATAAACTCTATAATGCTCCTGCTTAAATAATTCATCAAAAATCACAACTCAAAAGTATAATTTCTCAATATTTCAGTAATCTGTTTGTTATGTAAAAAAGTTCACCATTAACAATTTGTTTGAATCAACAGTTAAAATATACAGTTAAAACTTACTTGTACAGATTCCACAAAGCTGCTTACATAAAATGGTGTAGTTATAAAAAATCCAGACCTGAAATACAGAAAAACCATTTTGCACATAACCACTAGCCAAACATCAAACCATACAATTATCTATTACCCTATACTTAAATCTTTACTGTAACTCTTCCATTATTCATGATGACAAAGTGGATTAATGAAACATTTATGAAATGTAAAATTCCTTGTCAGTAACAGTATTTGTCAAGTATGCTGAATGCACTTCTTTTTATTTTGAAAAATGTCAATATCAACACTTGGTCAATCAGGCTTGTGGTTGAGGGTGAAATATTTTTTTTTTACAACTAACTTTTGATTACAATATTTGATAGTTTTCAGACTCTTATGACATACATAACACATGTCTGAGTAGACAGGTTCATGATCCAAAAGGTTTTTAACTATCAAAAATAGAATTAATAAAATTTGGACCAGACAATTTGATAGGATTAGGAAGGATTCCAGATTAGAAGGGTTCTGATAAGCAAGGCTCCACTGTAATACAACTCTGTCAAGAAAACCTTACAACATATAATGGTATTGATATCACATTGTTATGGTAACAAAGGAACAAAACTTACCATTTCAGTAACAAATGTAAGCTGTGCTTCTTTAAAGAACTAATTGAAGAACTGTGACTGAAAAAAAAACAAAATAAAAAATTAATGTTATCTACCTGTATATATTTTATGGGCTTTCCTTTTTAAAAAGGACTAATTCTTAAAACAAATTCTAAGGCCTTGTGATTAAGGTGTCTACCTCACAACCATGGAATCAATGGTTTGAGTCCTACTCGGGTCACAATCAGGTTTCCTCATTTGACACGAATACTGGTTGGTTCCAAATAGCAGACTCTTAAGTGATTAATATATGTTGCATGTACTTATTTCACAATCACGCTAAAATAAATACAAATATATGTTTCAACAAACAAATTCTAGAGATCTAGAATTATTATTTTCTGAATATTTTACCAAACAAAACACAATCTTTTAATACATTTGTACAGACATGTTAATCTTGGATGATCTCAAGAACTAGTTTGAAATTTAAGTTTGAAAAGGTACTTACAGTGGCCAGTTTGTGAACTCATTTATGACATTTTCACTGACCATGTTAATTCCCCTACACAGTAAGTTGCTCACAAATCCCTTGTACATGGATACAGGTGGCTGTAATTAATGTATAATTATGATAAATAACTAAATATAGTGATATGTGTAACTGCTTTACCAAAATATAAATTGAGAATACACTACCCTCCATAAGTAAGTATACAGTGTGATATTTCATAAAAAAGGCAAAAACAAACAGCTCTTAAACTTAAACAAATACTTTATTTGGCATTTAATTCATTTAATATCAAATTTGTTTGTTATTCATTGACAAATAAAAGTCTGCATAACAAGAACTTGGTCATTAAAGAACATTAAGAACTTTTTTAAAAGTCTGTATACAAAATACCAATTCACGACATGAAGCAGCATTGCCAATAATTCATTTTCTACAGGTATTCTGTCCCAAGCATCCTTTAAATTGGCTTCCAACTCGGTTAGATTTCTTGACCTGTAGTCGCGAACACTGCATTTTAAATCATACCACATATTTTCAAAAGTCAGGGCTTTGTGGTCATGCTCCTGCTTCCAGACATTGACTATTCTGGCCCTGTGACATGGAGCCCCATCATCTTGGAAGATGTAGGAGTCGCCATATCCAAGGTAGTGGGCAGAGGGGATTGCAACATTGCCCAAAATGTCAATGTTTCCATGTGCATTCAAGTTACTGTGAATAGTATGGAGAAAACCTGGGCCTCTGTATGACATTGCACCCCACACAGTCACTCCACCACCCCCAAACTTCACTGTTGGCACAACACAGTCATTGTGAAGCCTTTCAAAACTTCGCCCCGGACAAACACATTTCCATCATTTTGGAACAGAGTGAATCTGGACTCATCTGTCCAAAGAACAGCACTCCAGTCAACCCAAGTCCAATCAACATGCTCCTGAGCAAAGGCAATGCGCTTCTGGCAGTGAACCGGGGTCAACAGAGGCTTCCTGACTGCCTTCCGTCCATGTAAACCAGCATCCTGTAATCTACGCCTTTCTGTGGTGAGGCTGGCTGAGACTCCGTAGCTCTCCTATGAAGCTCTGAGGAAAGGCACAGTGTCCCGACGATCTCTGAGACTGAGTCTTATGATGGCTCTATCATCTCTCATATTTGAAAGTCTAGGGCGCCCTGAACGAGGTCTTTCGGCCAGTCATCCTGTCTCTTCCTTGCGCTCCAATGTCTTGTAAACTGTCTTCCTGCAAGAAATATTAAGACAAATATCAGGTCCATTTCTATAAAATTTGGTCAAGACATACATTTTAATTGGTAAAGACATAAAAAGAGTAAAAATTTAAGAAAAGACGCTTACCTGGTGACTCCAAGGACACTTGCGATGGCAGTGACGCTCTCTCCATGTTGGTGACGGTCCAGACATTCTACCCGCTGTTCTTCTGTCAAACGAACCATTTTATTGTTGTGTTTTATTGATGATTTTTGTCCAAAAATGTTATACTATTGTCATTTCACGCATTGATTGTATGATTTTGATTGATTTTTTTTGACAAATCTCACTTAAAAAATAACTTGGTGAATTGAAAAGAATTGCCTCAAATTTAAATCAACGCATAATTTGTCTGAAAACGGTGGAACGGTGTGTTTTTATTCTCTCCCTTTTAATAAAGATTACTTGCATTACAGAATGAAGACAAAACAATTGAAATAATGCTAGCTATTAGCCCAAAATTTGACAAAAATCATATTATTCATAAGTGTATACTTTATTATGGAGGGTAGTGTATATTACTGATATAATACATAGGGATTACTATACATTGAACAGACTCTTTTGTCATTTATGCATCTTAATTTACTAGTAGTAATATTTTGTTATAACATGTATTTCCACAGTTTAAACACACTCAAGATTACAATGCTGTACCCCAAAAACTTTAAGCTATTTACTGCCAACGTAAATTACTGGTCAACATCAGTGATACTGCGCTGCATTTCATAGAAAGTCCTAAGTGTATCCCAAGTTCTAGAATGGAAGACTTTAGGACTAATTTAAGACTGTTTCAATTAACATTTTTTTTTTAGTTAAAGACTATAATTAAATTCATTCTCTCGAGAAAAGTTAAGATATGCGTTGACAAATGCTTTGATCCTAAATGTGTTAATGTTTATCTGCATTGCTATTCAGAAATTAAAGGAGTCGTAACAGGAAAAAGGAGTCATAACAGAAAAACTCTCCTAAATTAGGACATTTTTCCTTTGAAAAAATCTGTTTCAGTTATGATCTGAAGACTGGTTTTAGACTTAAGACTTTCTATGACATGCACCATTGGAGATTAAATTCCAAGTCATCAAATGTGTTGAAAACAAAAACATACTATTCTCTTCAGAAAATTCTCTTGAAGAAATTTTTAAGGATACTTTGGTCTTCATACTTGCAAATTCTTTAAAGAATAAAATAAATAATTTACCTTATTTCTGTTGAGTTTCATCATTAATGGAACAACTGATATTGGTAAAATATGCAAACTCTGAGCCGGGTAGAAAATCTGTGAATAAAACAAATATTTTTTTACAAAAAAAAAAAGATCTTACTATTTCACCTATCTAAAACTCATGTCTCAAGACAAATAAGCAATCTTTAAATGAAATCAAACTTAAAATGCTTAATGCTAGCTTCAATTACATGTACTCATATTGTTTAACAGTTAAAAAATGCATGTTTATTGTAATAAAAGCACTTTCTAAATTTACATTAAATTCATATGTAGATTGGGATATGTTCTCTTTAACAAAGGTATTACATTTTAAGACATTTATTAATTCTTTTAGATATACAAGGAAATTTTATAATGTAAGCACTCATGGAAGCCTGAACTAATTTGATAGCTAAGCTTCAAAGATTGATTTCCTTATACATGAAAATTCATTTGGTAACAAATTCACATATTATGACAGAACTCTGCACACAATTTTAATTCAGGGCGTCTAACACTAAACCTAGTTAACATTAACTTGCTGGAACTGAAGGTGCTTAGCCTTTGTCACTAATATAGAACCAGGCCAGCCAGTACAATCTACAATTGTTTCATCCTGACATAACCTAAACTGATAATGGACTGTTTTGAAATGGATGCTGGTCAAGTTCAATCAAGAACATTCAGAGGGTTATTTGTGTTAATTAAACTACATAAAATTTACCTGACAGGATCTTCTCATGACTATAAAAGGATGCGAAATAAACTCGAAAGCCCAGATACTGAAAAACAAAACAGATACAATGTATCTTAATATTAAACGGTGCACTGCGCAATACAAATTATTAGTTATTTCTGAATGTTATATGGCTGAACATAAACAGCGCTCAGCATATATAATCCAAGCAGAAGCTGCTAGATTTATACACTATAACACTGTAGTATAAAAAATAATTATAGAACAAACTGCAGCACAATCTTATTCAGGGCTCATGCTGTTGGTCGTCATGGTAGTCATTTGCCATAATTTTATAATATTGGAGATTATTTTGGCTACAGAAACTGGCGATTACTTTTAACCGCTATATAAGGTGCAAAAATCAATGAAGAATGTAGTAGACCCAATTAATACTAGCAGGGCAGATTTAAAAAGTGTCAACTTAATATCAGTTGCACATTGAATGGTTTTAGTAATTAGTCATAAACATTTTCGACCAGTTTTATGGCCTAGTTTAACAGTGTTCAGCTTAATTAAAGCTCTTTATAGCAAACATAAAATATTGCAAACTTTTTTGAAGTCCTTTATTTGAAAAATTAGAATTTATATAAGAGTTACATGAACAGCAGTCATAAAATAAAGAAAATCATTATGAAGGTTATAATTAGAAATTGATACTGTTACAAATAATGCAGTTTTATATTAAACTGTATATTATTAATTTAAACTTCAATGCATTGCAAGTTAATAGAAGTACAAACCTTCCAGTTCCTATTGCTATTCCTGCAACTTTCTTCATTTGTTCTGAAAAGAAATTCATTAGCCAATTTTATAGTCAAAATATATTGACATGCGGAAGCTAGATTGTAAGAATCAGGGATATTGCCCATAAAAAAATAGCACAATATCTGATCACGAAGCACAATTAGTTGGTCTACCAAAATTATTTTACTGCTAACATACATGTAACATATGCTTAGACATTCCATCCAACATGTAAAATAAGAATATGGATAGAGAACTATTAAACTAGGGTAGGGACAGGATTCTTCAAGAGTAGTGTAATATGAAATTAGGCAAAACCTATTAACGGGAAAGTCGTTAAAAAAAATTCCTTTCATTTTTCCGTTTTAAAGGTGTCATTCAGTATTTCATGCACCCCTTCTGTTTTCACTCGGAACACTCGAAGATTATTCAATATCAGAAAAGTTGAGATTTGTTCCATTATTGTAATACCCTTCCTATTATCATTGAGTTACATTGTAAATTGCGGCACCCGACTAGAATTGACACCGAAAATTTCATTGATAGGTATAGAATTCTATATTTTATTTTTTTTTTATTTGATTTTCTCTTATTCTTAAATATACACGTGTAGTCTATAGCCGGCAAGCCAAACCCCGGGCTCGCGTTCCTTGACTTTACCGTATTATTTGTTACATAGAAAACCAGATACATGTGTAATCAGCAATAACAGGATATATAGATAAATAAACTAAATGAAACACAGGTTATAAAGTCTGACAACACTCAGATATGACATTAGACAAATGCAATAATAATTATATTAAGTTAACAAGTTATATGACAATAAAAATATTTTAAAAATGAATCTGATAATGAAAACGTATAAAATATTGACATAAGAACTTAACATTTAGATTACGATGATATCAATATTATTATGTAAGTCGCGAAAACAGAGGACAATACATCATCTTTATTTTGACAGCTGACCTTGAAATGGAAATTGCGATGAAAATACCTGAATGTGAGGGTTGTGGTCGAGCAGCTGGTATGTTCTGGTATTCCCCTGTATAAAGCATACTGTCACTCTCGCTTGTGTACGGCATACGCCGGGGACTGCGGTATTTTTCATTCATCATCCCGGGTAAAATGTCACTCATTTTCCTTCCAAACTTCGATTCAAGGGAGACAACTATTGGGGACGGGGTTTGTATTTCGGATACTCTTTGACTTTTCCGTCAGAATAAGAAAGTAGGACAACAACTCAAAATTTTTGTTAACAAGACCTGTTCAAGATTTATTTGAATTTCAACCTTAAATATGTCGGACAAGAATTTGACAGCTATCCTATATAAACAAGGAGACATTCGTTTAGTAAGTGTATTTATTACTTTTGAATGACAATCATTATTTCGTGTTTTTGTAGGTGTGTTAATTTTCATACTGTTATTCATCAGTTCATTAGTCTGTTGTTGACTGTACATGTATAATATCAGTACATTATCAAGTTAGCTGCAGACTGCAGCATATTTAAAGATCTAAACATTGAAAAAAATGAGAATACACATAGACTTTATCTATTTTTGAATGCTTATTTTCACAAATCCCTTCTAACTTCAACATTCAGAATGTTTTTGGCAATCTCTTTGGGACTATAAATACAGAGACTGCATGTACTGTGTACATTGTTTTTGCATATTTGCATTATTTGTATAATAAAAATCACAATCAAAATTTATGTAAATTTGGGGACATAGACATAGACAGCTTTCACACCATTGTGGACTAGATTGAGGTATTGAAATGGAAATATTAATCCTGATTGGTTTCAAGACATGTTTACAAGCATGTCACTTCTGGATTAGAAGTCATTATATGCATGCAAGTGCTCCAGTGTCCCCTACATCATTCTTCGACTGACCTGAAGGTTTACTTAGTACATGCTCCTGGATACACACCAAGGTCTAGTTCAGCTTTTATTATATATCTAAACTGGATTGTAAATTTGAAATCTGAAGTGCTGATAGTTTTATAGCAAAACTGAAAATCTAAACATTTTCTATGTAGTCTTATTCTGTAACTAATTCAACTCAGCTGGGATGATTTTTTTAAAGCATTTGTCACCAGTAATTAGAACTAGTTGTGCTGTCTGACCAGGGTAAATATTGTTAGCTATTCAATTATGTCATCTTGTCATGAATTGAATCCATTTTTTATTGTTTGAAGCCAGATTAGCAAGTTAAGGCTAAACATACATGTATTTCTCTTTAATATAGGCATTACTCTACAAGTAAATAAAAAATACATATTTTTATGACAATGTTTAAAGAACAAAATATGTAGCTAGAATTTCTTGGCTTGTTATAATTATATTTAGCTATAAAAGGTATCTTATTTTTAAACATTTCCAAAATTTCTTTCCCCTTAAGAGTTTGCTACCTCTTCCAAAGAATAATCTGACAAAATTTAAGGTGTGCATCATTCAATAAATGCATCTGACTTAAGATTTATAGTCCTTAGGTTTAAAATTTTGCTATCAAAATAACTATGGCATTTCCTCTATTAAAGATAACAAACCAAGCTACAAACCTATTTTTGGTATAAACTTGATGCCCTTATCTAGTTGACTATATGACCTACAAATTCACTCACAGTAGCTATTATCTTGCCCAGTTTTCTGATCACAGTGGCCATGACTTGATGTAAACTTTTGCATAATGTTTGTAAATGATGAGTTTATTATTTTCCCATTGTAAAGATTGAAAAAAGTTTAAAGCAGCATACCTTCAGTTGAAACATTAAGTATAATAATAATACATTAAGTCTTATCACTGCCAGGTGCAACTTTAAATGTATTAATTTAGTGTATTTTAATACACCTGTTAAAATCGATTAATTCTTGTGAATGATAAAGTTTTTATTTGAATCGAGTTGACCTCTGGTTATATCAGCTTATCTCGTTGGTCAACGTTTTTTTTTTTTTAGACTTCTGATTGGATTAATTCAAATTTGTGTTATTGAATTTGATAGGTTGTTTAATTACCTATATATAGGTTATTTTGCTTTTGCTCGCCATTCTGTTACTTATTTTGTAGTCGAGATCACGTTCTAGTCTTTTTTTTGCATAATACTCATGATGACCTCTTTAAGTTACATGCAAGACCACAGATCCTTAAAGCTCAAAGGTCAAGGTTACAGCAAGTAAGTGCAGGTTCAAAAGTTATGCATGTGGATTACAAAAATGGTGCAAATAATAACCATATGTAGGTGATTTGTTGCTTGCAAGACACATTGCAGTTCACATGAAGGTCAAGTCATATTTGAAGTTGAAAGGTCAAATCCTGTCCATTTTTATAATTTTTCATTACTTTATAGATTGTCACAATATTAAATGTCATATGTCTTAAACACTTGAAGACCATTGTGTTTCCAGCTAGTTTAAGGGAATGTTGTTGGCTCTGCTCTGGTGCCTGTTTGTGCCTGAAATAATGTATGGAATGGCACCTGAGGTCTTTCTCCACCAGTTAAGCTGGAAAGTTGCCACATGACCTATACTGTGTTGGTGCGACATAAAACTCAATAAAAAAAAAAAAAAACTAAAAAAAAAAATTAAGAAAAAACCTTGATATGTTGCAGGTCAAGGTTGTACTTTGAGGTAAAAATGTCATATTGTGGGCATCTGTGTTGTATATAGATACACTGTTAGCTTTAAGAATTGATCCTTATGATATCCATAGAAGTTTTCCAAATTTTAAAATCCATCGGATAACTTAATTTGCTTTGAATTTAGTTACTTTCAGCATATATCAAGTATTATAATAGTGTCATTTTTCTGTCGCCTCTACGGAGTAGTGGCGACATATAGGGATCACTTCTCCGTCGTCTGTCTGTCCGTCCGTCTGTCCGTCACAAAACTTGTCCGGACTACTCCTCATAAACTTCTGGTGCAATTTCATCTAAACTTTACAGGAATGATCAGTACCAAATCTCGTTGTGCATATTGTCAGCATTTTCCGGTTCAATGATTTTTGTCAGAGTTATGGCCCTTTAATAATTTTTATTTTTAAAGTTTTTTGTCCGGACTACTTCTCTTATACCACTAAAGCAATTTCAATGAAACTTTACAGGATTGATTTGTAGCTCAAGTCCTTGCGCATATTGCACGGATTTTCCGGTTGAATGATTTTTGGCCGAGTTATGGCCCTTTGATAAAAAGGTGTTTTTTCTGTGTGTTGCCAGATACGCAAAAGCTTGTCAGGACTACTCTTCATAAACTACTGGTGCAATTTTATCCAAACTTTACAGGAATGATCAGTACCAAGTCTAGTTGTGCACTGTCCGTCTGTCTGTCCGTCTGTCACAAACTTTGTCCCAACATGAAATTGGCCATCATGAGGCGACACATGTGATTACTGATCGCTCTTGTTTAATTTCAGGAAGACAAAGCCATTCCAGAACCCCGGAGAGGACGTAAGTATATAATGGAAATATAGTAATTATAAGGTGTTGTTGTTATGTTGTTGTCAAAGTACAACCTTGACCTGCAACATATCAAGGTTTTTTCTTAATTTTTTTTTTTTAGTTTTTTTTTAGCTCGACTATTCGATAAGAATAAGTAGAGCTATTGTAGTACCCCGAGCGTCGGCGTCGGCGTAACCACTTATGTTAAAGTTTTTGTAATAGTTTAAATATTTTCAAAGTCCATTGACATATGGCTTTGAAACTTTGCACACTTGTTCACCATCATTACCCCAACCTGTAAACAGGAGGAGGTAACTGTATCAAGCATTTTGACAGAATTATGCCCCTTTTTCGACTTAGAATTTATGTTAAAGTTTTTGTAATAGTTCAAATATTTTCAAAGTCCATTGACATATGGCTTTGAAACTTTGCACACTTGTTCACCATCATTACCCCAACCTGTAAACAGGAGGAGGTAACTGTATCAAGCATTTTGACAGAATTATGCCCCTTTTTCGACTTAGAATTTATGTTAAAGTTTTTGTAATAGTTCAAATATTTTCAAAGTCCATTGACATATGGCTTTGAAACTTTGCACACTTGTTCACCATCATGACCCCAACCTGTAAACAGGAGGAGGTAACTGTATCAAGCATTTTGACAGAATTATTCCCCTTTTTCAACTTAGAATTTATGTTAAAGTTTTTATAATAGTTCAAATATTTTCAAAGTCCATTGACATATGGCTTTGAAACTTTGCACACTTGTTCACCATCATGACCCCAACCTGTAGACAGGAGGAGGTAACTCTATCAAGCATTTTGACAGAATTATGCCCCTTTTTTGACTTAGAATTTATGTTAAAGTTTTTGTAATACCTCAAATATTTTCAAAGTCCATTGACATATGGCTTTGAAACTTTGCACACTTGTTCACCATCATGACCCCAACCTGTAGACAGGAGGAGGTAACTGTATCAAGCATTTTGACAGAATTATGCCCCTTTTTTGACTTAGAATTTATGTTAAAGTTTTTGTAATACCTCAAATATTTTCAAAGTCCATTGACATATGGCTTTGAAACTTTGCACACTTGTTCACCATCATTACCCCAACCTGTAAACAGGAGGAGGTAACTGTATCAAGCATTTTTTTTACTATCAAGCACTAAGAATAGTCGAGCGTTGCTGTCCTACCGACAGCTCTTGTTTTTATTGAGTTTTATGTCGCACCATCAGTGTTTCTTTCAGTCTTTTGTGTAAGTGTCTGGGGTTGTTCTTGTGAAAATTGTCACCATTTTATGCATTTATGTGTGAATAAAGTCATAATTATATCATAATGTTAAAATTTAGCTTCTAAGTGGGGAATAAGTTGGTAAATTCTTTGATTAATGATATACATGTAGTCCAAAAGTTTACTTGTTTTATTTCTAATGTGTCTAAATCATTGACAATTATGTCAATAGTCATAATAACTGTGAATTTTCTTGAACAATTGTGAAAGAAAGATACTTTTTGGCTTTGTGAATGAGATTGTATTTTGGCCCCAAAATAATAAACATTTTGAAAAGTAAAAATATTGACAAATATTCAATTTAAGTAATTCAGACAACAAAGATTTATAATGAAAATACCTAATACTTTGTAGAAATATTCAGAATTTTTTTTGACTTGTCCCATCAGATCTTCAATTTGGATAAAACCATACATCATTTCATAGGAAATTTTAAAATACATGTATGTATATTATGTACTGACTGAATATTGGACAGTGCAGACCATGATCAGATTATACTGATGTGTCGGCTAATATTGGTCTGCACTGGTTGTATAGGTATATTCAGTTGCCGCCAGCAAGGGTAAAGGTATTACATATTTTACAGAGGTACAGTTATGTATGCAAGACGTGGGGATATGTGGCTCAGATGTACATTACTGGCAGCATGGTGCTATTGGTGATTTTGTTGTTAAAGCTCCCATGGTACTTGGGCACGAGGCCGCTGGTGTTGTAAGCAAATTAGGCGAAGGTGTCACTTCTCTGAAAGTTGGTAAGAGAATTGTTATAAAACATAATTATAGCTTAAAGCAACATGCCTACGTATTATTATAACTTAAAGAAACATGCCTACAGATGATGTTTCATATAGTTTAATATGGCTGGAATTTTGTGCTAAATTTCGTAAGTTTGAATTTATAGAAATCAACTCCAATTTAAATTTAGAATTGTATTGTTTTATTCAAAATCACAATGTTTTGACTCAAAAGTCATCATGAGGTATACTTATTTACTGGAAAATTTCATAATACACGTGATTTAGAATGTGCATGTACAATGTATATAATTATGTTGATATTTTTTACTTGATGGTTGTCTTTGAGTTTTTGTTTTATATTTTATACCAATGTATATATATTTGTTTTGACAGGTGACAGAGTGGCTATAGAGCCTGGTGTACCATGCAGATGTTGTTCATATTGTAAGAAAGGCCGCTACAATCTGTGTCTAGACATGAAATTCTGTGCCACGCCCCCTATCGACGGGAATCTTGCCAGATTCTATGTACATGATGCAGACTTTTGTTTCAAGTAAAAACTAAATTTTGTTTTTCAATATTTGAAAAATTTAAAGAGTCTGTAGTTATATTAAGAACACAGAGTTTACATGATTATACATTTTAATAACATATAATTATGTATGTTTAATTAGGTGGAATTGAATAATTTAAAAAAATTTAAATTTTTAGATTAAAACTTTTGTAATATTTTTTCCCCTCGTCATTTAGATGAAGCCGTAGCCTCAAGATTTTGGAAAAAAATATCGCTAAAATTTCAAGATTTACTTTGTGAAACATCTGGGGTATTAGCATGATTTTAAAGAAAATTTCAATTGGGAAGAGTTCTTATAGAGGCCTCTGTAATACATATATAATATAAAAACCCCATGTTTTAGTTTGTTTGTTTGCCTGGGGTACTTTTTGGCCTATTTCAACACATTGTAATATATGGTGGTTGGTCCACCTAACCTGCTTTCCTGGATATCTAATCAGTAAATACCAATTTCACCACATGTGACTGTCAAGCTACTAAAACCACATGATTTCTGAATCAGTTGTGCCATACAAATAACTATTGCAGTCAATGTCAGAGATCAGTAACTATTGTTAAGGAGAAATTAAGGAGAGCTGTGGCCTAGTGGTCAAGGTGTCTGCCTCCCAACCCAGGGATCATAGGTTTGAGCCCTAATACATTCTTAATCATGTTTCTTTATATGACACCATTACTGGTTGGTTCCAGAAAGTGGACTTGAAAGTGATTGATATAAGTTGCAAGAACTTGTTTTACAATCAAGCTGAAATAAATATGTTTAAACCAAGGAGAAATTCAGTCTCACCCTACTAAGTTGTTGCATAGTTATTTAAGATAGATCAGGATATCCCATTTAATACCACATACACTATTTTATAGAAAGAAAGATTGTACCAAACCTTTATACTATGTACATTACAAGTTACTAGATTATCTTAATACTTTACCAGATTACCAGATCATGTGAGTACAGAAGAAGGAGCTCTGCTGGAGCCATTGTCAGTAGGTGTTCATGCATGCAACAGGGGAGGTGTTACACTCGGTAGTAAAGTGCTCATTTGTGGTGCAGGTAGATTTTTTCTTCACAAAATCACAAATTTGCTTCTTACATCACAAAGCTAGTTAACATTGTTTTATCTATAAATCTTTGCCTTAGTCAAAGAATACAAACTGTATTGTTTACTGTAATGGAATGTCAGGATAACTTAAGTCATGTAGTTTAGCCCTTAAACCTGCTGAATTTCACTATTAATATACATTTATTAAATTTTTAAATGCTATCGTTCTGTTCATTAATAGTTTGTAGTTGTAAGTGATTAACAATCATTTCAACAGTTGCATATTGCAGCATTGCGCCAGGTATCAACAATAACAAACCTACCACTAAGGACATTCAATAAGGCACATGTTACTCGAATTCCGTTTCTCTCCAAGCGAAATGCCCAGTCCCTTGCAATTCGAGTTACCAAAGTCAACTGTGCTCAGTACATTTGACTGACCAACTTTGATT